GCTTAACTGCCTGCTTTAAAATAGGAAATTAATACATTCTGCAAGCTACCAGAAAGGTAGGTGAAATGTTTTAGGCTACTTTGAACTTTTAACTCATCCGCAAATAAGTGCTATGGAGAGTTTTGTGAAATGAGACACCCCCTTCCACAGCCCATTTCTTTTTATCTTTATGCAAGAAGTGGAGAACCTCGAGATTTTTCCATTGCCAAAGTTAAACAGGAAGTTCCCAGGCAGGAGCTCTGCTAAGAGGTGTAAGAGGGGTGGGTGTGCTAGAGGAGGTTAGAAGGAAAAAAGAAAGGCCAGGGGATTTCTGAGTTTGGGGTCAAGAGAGAAATAGTGGTTTCCCTGTCATCACAACTGCACAGCCAACCAATGTGATTTATTGGTAATTGTTAATTAATGCCAATAATTAATTGGGGAGACAGAACAGCCTACAGGTTCCAAAACAAATCTAAATACTTGTGGGCTATTTGCTGGATTTAAACAAGGTTATTTCATCGCAATTTTGAACTTTGTGAGACACAAAGAACTTAAAAGTAGTTTTTTGGGTGGTGGTTGTTTGTTTGTTTTTTTTTTTTTGTACCTGTGTCTGGGTCACTTTTATAAGAAAAGTACTAGAAAAAAAAAGAATTGCATAGTTATAGCTATAACCTAAGTAAAATTCTGCTGTAATTATTTCTTTCTGCACAAGTAAAAATTTATCATTGACCAAAACGTGAATATGATGCTTTCATACAGACTATTAGATGTTCTCTAGTATTTTTCACTGCCAGAGTTTCGGGCACAAACCCCATATCCACTTGTATCTCTAAGTCCAGCTGACCACTGATGAGAGAAAGGTTGGACAAACTGGGCAAGAGGAAGTCAAATGGGCTCCCAACCCACTGAAAACTGAACCAAGTTCTAGGTCCTAGAAGCATGGGGACCACTTGGGAGGTAAAGTTGTGGAGAAAGGAAGTAGCTGTCCTGTGGGGTCTCTGGGTCAGACTGTTGTTTTCCATGGCCTCTCTCCAAGCAGTTCTAACAGTCTCAATCCATAATTTCAAAACCAACCTAAAAAATAAAACTTGCTAATGCAGGTTTGTTTGTTTGTTTGAAGATTTTAGCTCTGTGGATGTTATCTGTAACTGTAATGCTTTACAGACCCTTACGACCTAGTACGTAGCCCTTAAACTCTTCAGCCACAATAGAAAGCTTTTTGAGGAGCCAGGAAATTCCACTCAGCACAATGCCAATAAATACTGAATTAATAAGTGAGGGTATTCTGTTTCTGGATCCTCGAGTCTTCTAAGGATTGCTTAAGCTAATTCTCTAGGTCTATAACCTATTAAAAAAATCTCTTCTTGAAAAGGATTAACAATAAGTGGCTAAAAAATAGAACATCTCTCCTTAATTTTTCTGCCATCCAAAAGGTGAGCACTAGAGTTCAACTCTCCTCTAACTCCTCATTCACGGAGTGATGCCAATTCTTCCTCTGGGGAAAGCATAGAAAGTAGCTCCCTTTCTGGAAAGGTAAGCAAACCACTTCTGATTCAGGTCTTGACTCACCAGCATCCCCCTATCCCCATTCTCTGAGCAATCTTCCTACCAATTCTATCCCTCTCAGGTACCTTCTAAAACAAAGGGAATTCCTCCTTCCAGGAGATACTGTAGCAAAGGGCAGTATTACTCATAGCAGCCTCTGATCCTAGCCCTACAGTCTTTCTCTCCCATTTCAGCCATTTTGACCATTCAGGATGTGTTTTTGCAGGAAGAGTAAGTATAGTTCAAGGTTTGAGGAAGTGGTATAGTACTTCTGACAGAGGGTTGTGGCAAGATAACACTGGTGGTTAATCCTGGGTACAGATGAATGCACCATAGTTTATTACACTGTAAGAAAGCAGTTTGGTGGTGTGGGCTCTAGAATCATGCTTGGGTTCAAATACAGGCTCTGCTAAGGTGGTAGGACTCTGGGAAAGTTGCATAACCATTCAGTGGCTCTGTATCCTATTATATATATATGTATTTCTATTTTACAGAAAACACAAACATTACTGTCTACTTTGTAAGATTGTTTTGAGAATCAAATGATATGATACAAATTTGGATAGAGTAAAAACACTAAATAGTAAGCACCAACTTTGTTAGCTATTATTAGTACTATGCATATATTTTAAAAGAATGAGGTAATTCTATATGTATTGACTTGGAATAAAGTCCATGACATAGTTATAGTGTTCTTCTGAAAATGCTATAGAATAACATACTTAGCAGGAGTCTATTTTGGGAAGAAAAAAAATACATGATATTTATGAGTGTATCCAAATAAGTCTAGAAAGGCACACACACCACTGAAACACTAAATTACGGTCATAACCCCTAGGGAATGTGTGCATATGTGTGTGGGGGGGGAGTGTTCCTACGTTTGTATATGTACAGGTCTTTGCTTGAATTCACAAGTATGTACTGATGTAGGCAATACTGGGGTCCAGAGCTGATGGCCAATAAAGAATTTTTGAAACATCTTCGGTGCAAAAAGGTGGTTTTATTAAAGCACAGGGACAGGACCCATGGGCAGAAAAGGCTGTACTGGGGTTGTGAGGGTTGGCGATTATGTACTTTCAAGTTGGGAGGTTAGGGATAGTGTAAATCTCTAGGGAATTTTGGAAACAAGTTCCAGGAGGGGGCCAGCTATTGTTAGATAAAGCTCATTTATTACTAATAAAACCTTAGTCATGAGACCCTTCAGATGTGTATCTGTGGGCCATATGCTTGGGGGATGATTGCTAAACTGTATCTTGGGGAATAGAGATAAAGGAATTTCCAAAGGAATTTTTATATGTTAAAGTAGACTTATGGGATCCTGGGGGGTTGGCGTAAGATTACCTCTTGCCTTTAGCAAAGTGTCAACATTGGGGCAGTTGAGTTTCTAGAGGAAGGTCAATCTGCCTGTTTCAAGGACTTGTCAGTGGGCTATAAGCAGCAAGGAAATTTAATTTTTTCTTTTGCCTTTGTTTCCCACATCATGTACTACTTTTATAACCGATTTTTAAAATTAAACAGTGGCCTTTTTAACCTTCAATTTGAACATTTCTCACTTCGGGGTCTAGGAAAAGGTGAACTTCTTAGAGATAAGGAAATGGAGGCCCACCTAGGAGGAGGTAGAGCCCCTCAGTCCCATCTATCCCAGCTACATGTCTCATTTCAGATTCCCTTATATTCTTTACAGTCCTTGGCACATCATGTGCCTGCCATAGGATCCAAACATTCTGAAACCGGTTGTTTTATTCTTCCTATTTGAGGCCCTCCTTTTATTGCGACCAAGTAGCTTTCGCGTGTGTTTTAATATCTTCCTTTCTACTTCTCAGAACTTTCTCACCATTTGTCTGCTTGTCATTCTGTCCCTCAGACAGGTGCCCCTGCACTGGGAAACCCACTGGAGTGACAACTAGCCAGGTAGTTCGGGTTTTTTGGCAGGCACAAGGGCCCCCACCTACACAACTGTAGGACTTAGTGGAGTATGCTTTAAAGCGGTTTTGCTTGCAACACGTCTAAATGGCCTTTTAAACATTTTTTTTTAATCTCATTCAAGAACCGGTGTTTGGTATGTTTGGACAGGACAGGTGTTTATTTTTGCTTTGGCTTTCTCCTGCAAGTTACAACGCTATCTTGTACCTCCCCCCCCACGATGTTCTCTACCACACTCGTCCTTTATCATGTGTTAATTTTTATTGTTTTTAGCAACCTGCGTTCTCACTTGTCTTCTCACCATTTTTCACATTCCCGTCACGTTTTCTATTAAAACCCATGGAGCAAAGGTTATATGGTGAAAAGGGAGATTCTAGTTAGGGCGTCTTCCATGCAGTCTCTCGCACCGGAACCCGGAGCTTCGGGAACCATGCCTGCCGGGGGGTATCCGGGCCACCAGAAAAGGGTCAGCATCAAAGCGCCCAGGCATCGGGAGAGCTGATTGGTTCCCGGGCGAACCAATCAGCGAGCGACGATGTTCGCAGACCGGGGAGGGCCAAGATTATAGAGCGGATGGAGTTAAAGGAAAAGGGCCAGGTGTGCCAGGCACCCGGGTTTTGCGTGCACTTGTGCTCCCACCGGCTCATTGTTAAGCCCGGATCTCTGGTCTCCTAAATTACACCCTCCGAATTTCCCAGTTTCATAATGCTGAGTAGGGAGAAAAACATTACGTATCCTACCATTCATAAGATGGTCATTAATAGTCAATGGAGGCGTAGCTGGGGGTCAGGGTGGGGGTAAGGTCATTAAAATCCTCCCTCCTTTCCCAGTTCCACTCCAGGTCGTCAGCCTAACTGAATCAGTTCTTGAAATAGTAAATCATTCAAACGTCCCCTTAATCGCAAAAGCTGATTACCAAAATGCTATCGTTAGACACCCGAAATAAGTTCCCCTCCCCGTGGATTGGGGGAACTAGTACTGGCATTTACCGAAGGCGCAGGGTTTTACTACCCGCTAAGGGAGAAGGAAGAGAGGTCTTAGGCTAAGTCAGAGAAACTGGGCCCTTCTGAAATGTGCGACCTCGCACACGAATGCGTCCCCCCCCCACCCCCAAGCGCAGCGACAGCTCCTCCCAACTCTACCCCACAAACTTCATGCGGAGGCGCAAAGATTTTTGGGAGGGTGGGCGCTGATACCAGATTTGCCTGCGGTGCTTCAAACTTCAGCAGAGCTGTTCTACGCACTTTCTTCCAAGTGTCACAGCCCCCGGACTCACGGACCCGTCCAACCTTAGCTTTCCCACGGTCCAGCGCTGCCACCCACCATCTACCGCCCATACCCAGGCGGGAGACGCTGCGTCCTTGGGGATGGGGGAAGGGGGAGTGGGAAAAGAGAGGAACGGCCAGTGTAAGGAGAGAGGTCCCCGCCGAGGCCTGGACGCCGGCAGCCCCTGGAGGGGCCTGGGGCCGAGGAGGGAGGAGGGAGGAGGGCTGGAACCGTGCGGGGAAGGGCCGCGAGGAGAGCAAGGGAGCCGCCGGTGTCGCTACACTCACTCTGCGTAGCCAGTGGCCCAGGGCAGCCGCCGGGTCTCCTTGAGGATGAGGATGGGGCGGGCGATGTGGTCGGCGCTGCACTCCACCTCGTCCTGAGACAGCCCCAGGAACTCCGGCCGCCCGTAGGGGAAGCGCAGGGGCAGGTCCGAGCCTCCACAGCCGCCGCCGCTGTGCTCGGAGCCTGAGCTGCCAGCCATGATGCCGCCCATGAAATTGGCCACGGCAGATTTCACTCGAGTGAGCATATTACTCCGGCGCCCTGCAGCAGCGGTGCGAGCAGGAGGCGGCGGCGGGGGCCCGACGAGGCGCAGCGCGGGGCATGCAGGCTGCGCCGGGCGCACGGGCAGCCGGGCCGCTGGGGCGCGCCGCGCGGCTAGCGGAGCCTAGTGCTGCAGGGGGCCGGGCCCCGGCCTCCCGCGCTCCGTGCCGCCGCCGCCGCCGCCGCCTCCCCCCGCTACACTTCCGCAACGGAGCGGCATGGAGCGGGCCGGCCGGGCCCGGAGAGACGCCGCGCGCTCCGGGAGCGGCTGGGCGACCGCAGCGGCAGCAGGTCCCTTCCCCGCCCTCTGCGCTCGACTCCTGCGTGAGCGGAACTGAGCCTACCCGGCGAGCCGGCAGAGCCGGCACGGCTGCTGCCACGGCTACCGCCGCCGTCGAGTCATGTGATAATCAGGCTGCATGGGCTCGAGCAGCTGCTGTGGCCGAAACTCGGCCCCTCCCCTGCCGGCCCGAGCGAGGCTGGCCCGGGGATCGTGACCTCCTGGGGGAGGGGGGAGCCGGGCTGGGTCGGTACCTGGCTGAGGGGATGGGGGCGCTGTGAGCGGAAGGCCGTACGCAGGTGTTAGGGGAGGTCACGTGGAGCCGGGCGAGGCCAGTTGAGGAATCCACTCGCGGAGGAATGCTTGCCTACTACGCCCTCGGGGAAAGGGGAGACAGGTGGAATCTTGGTGGGGCGACTCCACGGTGGGACGGCAGTGGAAATGAGAAACACCTGGTGTAAAAGACTTTTCAAAGCTGAAACAAACTCGCAAGGGTTGCACAAGAATTATTTAAAAGTTTTCCCCTAGGCATTTCTAGAATTACTTTTTTAAATTTTACTACCACCACACGCATCATTATCTGCGGAGCAAGCCCTGTTTGGAACCCAGAATAAGCTTAATGGCAAGAAAACAAAAGGGCCCTAAGAAATCAGATGCAAGCCCTGTTTTACCTAGAACTTAACCGTTCAATAAATTTATACGAGCATGTTCCTCCAACATAACAACAAAAGTGTCTTTTCAAAGCTGACCCTGTTTACTATTGAGACACTTAATGTAAACTATTTTCTTAAACAGAAAAATGTCTGAAAAGCCAACTGGTGAATATGTCTCATCAGGGGTAACATTTGTTAAATATTGGCTTAATTTTTTTTTTTCAAGAAAGCTGTATCCTGTTCATGTTTACTTATTCTGTATCCTGTTCCCATGTTTACCTACCATTTAATTTGCCAGGATTCTGCGTTACTGGTGGAGTTACACATACTAAACAGCTCACTTAGAGTTCAGGAGGGAATACAGGCCTTCATTCTTCTGAATGAGTGGAAAGGGGAGAGTCGCCCAGGTGTTGGGGGGGAAGGTAATCCTCCGAAGAGGAATTGCAATTTTTGCTCTTACGTGAGGCCTGACCCCATTTTATCGTATCTATAATATTTTTTAAGGCATTTTCTTCCCCTCTGGCTTTTTCATAAATAGGTACTCCGGTTTATAGCAAATAATTATGTAAAAAAAAAAAAACTTGCAAATGTTCAGTGAGATACCATTCCTTTTCAATGAGTTTTTATTACTTTTCACAAAACAAAAATAATTTTAGCTTGGACCCCTTTCTCTAATTTTAAAATTTGGGGCAGGATTCTGAATAATGCAAAATCTAAATGAACAAAAAAAGGTCTTGTCAACCTTTGCTTTGCTCAACTATAAACTACATGGAAAAAATCCAAGTAGTGGCTAAACATCTAATCAACCACATACTCTGGCATCCACTAAGCCCCACATAAACTTAGAATCCCTCTCAAGCTTTTGTCGTAGAACAATTACCCTTTACCAATGTCCTTCGGATACTTTGGTAACTAATGTCTATTGAGATTAATTTATTGTATTCCGACCTTCATTTCACTTATAACAAAGCTATAGCAAGGCTTTAGTATTTACTAAAAATAGGATTTTAAAAAAATTCCTGTCTAGTTTATTTTCAATTTAAAGTAGTACCTGATCATAGTCAATAAATAAATAAAATCCAATAGTACAGAACTATAAATGAAAAAGCAAAAGACTCCAAAAATTTCCCCAGGGGATCACTACTGTTATTATTTTCCCTAGGCTTTCAAACCTTTTCTCAAATAGGATATTTGGTATAATTGAATTTGGTAATATTAGGCAGATTTATGATCCAAAGTTTTGTAGGGAGCTCTTCTATTTCTCTGTCACCTGAGTATTATCTATCATGGGAAAGTGTTGATATACTTTGGCTTTGCAAGGCTAGTTTGTTCTGCAAAAACAGGCAGACAGACTCTCATATCTATTCTTTGAATATTTCTTTTTTTCTTTGAGTATTTCTATAGTATAAGTGTTCATCACTAATAAATCTACTATCTTTATACCTACCTCTAAGACCAGTGTCACGTCACAGGATTTTCCAGAGAAATATTTTCCATGTAAATTTACTCCTCAATTATGTCATTCTTTAAGATCAGCTGGGAAGTAAATTCTGATTAAAATGGGGTTTTCGTCCCTTTTAGGGGAACCCCAGAAAAAATGTCTTTCATACCTATTACAAATGCAAATCGGGGAGTATCTGTGCTCACAGCTTTAGGATTAGTGATTGCCTGAATTCCAGGGGTGTGGTAATCAGGATTTGAGAGACCCTCAATGTTACCCATTAGATGTATGTCCCAATCATCAATAGATATGCTTCATTTGTCTCTTTTATAGTTTCTTTGCTCTTGGAAAATGTGAGCTTGAAGACTTTAACAGAACATTCATTTATAGGATAGATACATGGACCTTATACTTGGTTGCTCTTCATATAAATATAATCGCATTTCTAGGCCTCGAATACCATGGCTTTGACTACACAATGGTTGTGCCGTCAGTAAGACTATTTTCAAGAAAAAAAAAAAGTCTGGATAATTTATTCAGTGAAAACATCACGGATTCCCCTAAATATTTAATTACAAAAGGAAAAACAATACCTTACAAGTGGAATAGCCCGGCAGACATCGCATAAAACAAGTGATCGAGTTAACATCACCAGTAGTGAGACCTATTAATGTCCTGTGCATGCTGATACCATGCAGTGAAAAGGGCACATCACTTATGTGGTATGCTTCCCCAAATCCTCAACCTCGTTAGAACCTTGAGAAAACATGAGTCAAACCCAAACCGAGGATATTCTACAAAATACTTGACCAGGTATCTTCGAAAGTGTCAAGGTCCTAAAAAACCAGGAAGGACTGAAAAACTGTCAGTTTGCAGACAAAGGAGATACACCACTACAATATGTAATACTCTATATTGAGCACCTAGCCTAATGCCTAACAAGTAATAGGGCTCGGTTGGTAAATTAATTCTCTAAAAAAATTATATTCAGCAAAGAATATGAATTGTTTGAATGACCAAATCTATGATATTTATAACCCTGTTTTCTTAAGGATTTTTCTCACTTTATCCCTTAGGATCTATCTTAAGCAGAACTTCCTTAAAATCTAATAAGAGAAGGCTTAGCTCACTTCAGACAATATCCGGATTGGTAATAAATGTACATCAAGTCATGTGGATCTCTGCTTCACACTGAACTGGTAACCTGTTATAGCTCTGAACAAGGATATGACATTAAATATTTAACATTATGGGGCGCCTGGGTGGCTCAGTCATTAAGCGTCTGCCTTCGGCTCAGGTCATGGTCCCAGGGTCCTGGAATCGAGCCCCGCATCGGGCTCCCCTTTCCGCGGGAAGCCTGCTTCTCCCTCTCCCACTCCCCCTGCTTGTGTTCCTTCTCTCTCTGTATCTCTCTCTGTCAAATAAATAAAATCTTTAAAATAAATAAATAAAAATATTTAACATTAACTGGTTTTTGCTTCCAAAATAGTTTAGATTCTGGTTTCATATGTAGTAATATACTGTCTGAAAATCCCTGAGATTGAAAGGGATTTATTTCTTCATCAAATGAGACCATTTATGTATAAACAACAATTTCCTTGCAAACCAAGAAATTTATAGCTAATTTTCCAGTACAGAATTACAGAGCATTTGCAATTTTTACATCCAAAAAATCGAGACATTCCCTAGATTACAAACATGATTTCAGAACATCTGATACATTCAACCAATGGATTACACCTGACTTTTCTTATTACTTTCCCATTGGCCACCTTCTATAGACTATTCTATCCCTTGACCATATTGCCCTAGACTGAAACCATTGCTTTGTAACTGATACGGGAATTGTATCAAACTGTATCTCTTCCACATGATTCCTGGTCCCCTATTACCTACTTCAGATTAGACTCTGAAATGTGCTGATTATCAGAAAGCTTATAAAATGGAAAAAAATAGTCATTTCATAGTGGTAGCTGCATGGATCAGTGAGATAATAGTTGTAAACATGATACAGCTAATCCCAGGGTTATCACCCATGTATTTTTTTCCTTAGATACTAGTTTTTAATATTAAAATTTTAAATCATTTCCTTTTTCTATTTTCTACTCACAACAATGAAAATAGCTATACCTACCTCCTAGGATTATTTTGATGATTAAATGGAATAACAGGAAAATTGCTAGGATTCTTCCTGGTACAGAATGCATGGTTAGTAAAAGCATAATAAGTGCTATGATACAGTAGTCCCCTTCATCTGCAGCTTTGCTTTCTGCAGGTTTAATTACCCCACAGTCAACCCTGGACTGGAAGCAGATGATCCTCCTTCTGACGAATCTTAAGGTCAAAAGTAGCCTAATGCAATGTCACAACATCAGAAACATTCACCTCACTTTCATCTCATCATGTAGGCATTTATTATCTCACACCATCACAAGAAGAGTGAGTACAGTACAGATATTTTGAGAGATACCGCATTCACATAACCTTTATTACAGTATATATATATTTTTTAAGATTTTATTTATTTATTTGAGAGAGAGGAAGAAGGAGCAGGGGGGGAGGAGCAGAGGGAGAGAGAGAAGCAGAGTCCCTCCCAAGCAGGGAGCCCGACATGGGGCTCGATCCCAGGACCCTGAGATCATGACCTGAGTGAAAGGCAGAGGCTTAGCCGACTGAGCCACCCAAGTGCCCCTACTGTTATAATATATATATAATGTTATAATATATAATAGGTGCTCCTATTGTTATAATTATTCTATTTTATTATTCTCTCACCGTGCCTAATCATAAATTAAACTTTGTTGTGGGTATATACATATAGGGAAAATATAGTATATATAGGGTTAGGTACTATCCACAGTTTCAGGCATCCACTGGGGGTCTTGGGACATATCCCCCTTGGATATGGGGGAACTCCTGTCCTGACAGCACTCTGCAGTCCCAGGGAGGGGGAGTCGACACACATTGTTTCCAATGCTCTTAGCCAACATTATAAGTTAAACATTGTTTCTAATGCTCTTAATCAACCCTACCAGTTTACTAGTGAGAAAACT